TGTACTGTGTAAAATTTAAATTCCCGACAATCTCTGCAGCTTCGTCCCTCACCACACCCTACTCTCCCACAATTTACTACTTGCAGCTTTCTGAACCCCATCCCCTTTCACATCCCATTTTCTCTCCATCTGATGGGATAAGACTTGGTAAAGCTGATGCTTCCTCTCCAACAACTTCCCTGAATCCCCTGTAGAGCCCTTTAAGACCTCTTTGTTCTTAGTACATGGGAAGTACTCAACAAACACTAGCTCTATGAAGAAATTAAAGACTACATTATGTCTCAGTTTCCTCATTGACAAATTTTATCTGCGAGAGCCTCTTCCAATCTTAAATTGCTAACAAAATCCATTAACCCCACAAATTTTCTGAAACTCCTATAAACGTTCCCCCCCCCAGTAGGATCGCAAACAAGAGAAAGTTTTTCACAAAGCATAAAAAATGGGTATTTTATGTCCTTTGTAATATCCCACCATGTAAAGTGACCCCATGATTTTAGGTGATCCTAAAAAGCACACTTTGCTCAGTGACTATATAAAAACATGACTTTAATTGATGACTCCAACATAACTCCCTGCATGCTTTATCTTCTATCTTTCTGGTAAGAGGTGAGAAGGAAAGCTGCCTTACTTTAGTATGTCACTAGGAAATTATTTTCTTATCAAGTAAATTAGGAGATCCACAATATTGTAATACCCATTACATCCAAATATTCTGATTCTCCCTCTCTGTACATGTATTTCTTTCTCTGCCCAACTTGATTATAAATACCACAAAGTTCTAGTCTAAAAATCCAGTCTCACTGGAAATTATGCCACTGTAGTTTACGTGAGGACCCCTACTATTACCCATCTCTGAAATTTCAAAGTATGAAACCAAACGTTTTGTCTGAAATAGCATCTGAGGAGAAACAAGACTTAATAGTTATCACTAATGTAAACATTCAGAAATAGTAAGGTTCTAGACCTCTTTTAAAGCCATAGAAGAGGGACACCTGGGTGGCTCAGTAAGTTAAGCATCTGCCTTCAGTTCAGGTCATGATCCCAGTGTCCTGGGATCAAGTCCTGCCTCGGGGTCCTTGCTCAGCAGGGAACCTGCTTCTCCCTCTGCCTGCTGTTCCCCCTGCTTGTGTGCGCACTCTCTCTCTCTGACAAATTAAAAAAAAAAAAAAAAAATCTTTAAAGCCACAGAAGATAATCTCATTTCACAACTGAAGATACAAAGTAACAAAGTCATACTGTTATTCTCCGACAATTCAAATATGGAAGAGAGTAGTAGTGAGTTCTGGATGTCCAGGTGCCAGTTATCATTAGGTCTATGCCAGCCGTCCACATTGAAATAATTAAAACAACTAATAAGCCTTCAAGATTATCATTATTGTTGTTTTGGTTTTACATATCCCCTATAAATGAGCTGGAATAAGAAATTAAAACTATATAAGCTAGGAAGATAAAATGATCTCATGACTCCTTTCCCAATAATCATTTATAACACTAATAAAAGTGAAGCAAAGCAAGGTCAAACACCATCAGTAGGTTAAGGCAGGTCCTACCTGAATAGTTCAGTTTCTCTTAATGAAGAGCCCTTTACAAATTCTATTTTTTTTCTTTGTTTGTTTTTTAATAAAACAAGACACGCAGTGATTATAGGAATCTATAGCGCTAGTCATCCCTAGAATTCCAAATACATTATTAAGAGTAGGACAAGATATTTTGATGATCTTTATTAGTAAATTAAAGCACTGTTTTAACTGTAAAATATTGGTTTGGCAAAGGGGCTCACTGGTTAAGTTCTTTCTCCATTTATTTTCTACTTGAATTGATGAAAGCCCCAATAATACCAATATACACAAACCTAAGAATTTGATTTAAAAGGATAATAAATTAAATCACACTCGTAAGCCTGTAAGCGCATATAGCAAATTAATCCAGATGCTTAGGGGTATGACTATATATCCCCAACTGCCTGGATTTAGTTGATATCCTTACACTAGCCTTCACTGTGTGACCTTGGACAAGTATTCAACCAGTATGTGCCTAAATTTTGGCACCTCTAATTGTGCTATACAATATGGTAGGCACTAGCTGCAACTGAAACATTTTAATTAATTTAAGCTTAAATTAAGTAAAATTAAAAATTCAGTTCCTTGGTAGCACTTGCCACATTTCAAGGGCTCAAGAGCTAGATGTGGCTAGAGGCTACCATATTGGACAACACAGACATAGTGATAAAAACAAGTAAGACAATATGACTGAGAGTAACAAATATGATCAAGGGGGCAGGAATGACTACATTAGATTTAGTGATCGGAAAAGGCCTCCATGAGGTGTTGACATCTGAGATGAGGCTTGACTAACAAGACGTAGCTAGAATGCAAAGATCTACATACAGCCTCCAAAGCAGAGGCAAGAGCAAGGGCACAGGCCTTCAGCACAAATAAGCCTGACTGGTTTAACCACAACAAAGCATGTCTGAAGCACAAGAGGTTAAGGGGAGAGTAAAACTGAGTGCAAGAAGTGGCAGGAGGCAGGGCTTCGTGGGCCTTATAAACAATGTAAGAACCTCAGATTTTATATCAAGTGCAATTAAAAGCCTTAGAGTTATAAAGGGGCATGTCATGATCTAAATTGTCTTTAAAAGCTCACTCTGGCTGCTTTTGGAAAATAATTACAAGAAGCCAATAGTGGAAGCAGGAAGTTCTGTGACAAGACGGGTGCCGCTGCCCAGATGAAAGAAGAGCGGGGGAGTGGCAGTGGGATCAAGAAAATGTGTTGTTTCCTCTACATCCCGTGTCCACCGTCCTGGCTCCCCCATCCTTCACCACCTGGCCCCTTGAAAAAGTCAACTTCTTTTTTTTAGCTCCTCAATGGCCTGTAAATATGCCTTGCGCCTCCACCAGTCCACAGAAACTGTCCTGAGGTCCCACTCACCGGCATCTTCCCCAAACCAATGGGCACTCATGCATTCTTACCTTAGCTGACCTCAGCCCCATCTGCAACTGCTGACGCTCTGCCGTTTCATCAAATCCTCTCCTCCCTGTGCTTCCCAGCATTGCTCTCACCTGGTTTTCCTCTCTTTCTCTGTCTTCTTCCCATTAACCTCTACATGACTCATAAACAGCAGCCTCCTCTAAGGGTTCATCTTCAGTACTCGGTTCGCTTCACTGCATACACCATCTTGGAGACTGAACGGACCCTTCTGGCTGGTAATCCTCAAATTAACATCGCTGGCCCGGAGGGGAATTACTAACTTCTAGACCTCTAGATTGTGTTTGACCGCACTCCCTCCCTTGGACATACCAGAAACATTTCACATGCAAAAGGTCCAAAGCCTATCCTCCTTCATTCTCTCTCATTAAACGTCCTCGCCCAGGCCAAAGGCCTTCTCAACTCTCTCAGTCATCAGCTACGCCCCCACCACCGGATGATCTTCACTAGGTCCTGCAGACTCTACCTCCTGAATGGCTTCCCGCTCTATCTCTTCCTCTCAAGTCCTGCTGAGGTGATTTTAGTTCAAGCTCACAAGGCTTCTTGGATTATTGGAACAACCTCCCACCAATCTCCCTGCTTTCCATCTTGCCACACTGCCACCAAAGCACAGAACAGGATGAATGAATACAAACCACCATGTCCTTTCTCTGCTGGAAGTCTTTCAAAGGCGTCCCACCGTTCCCACAGGTTTCTCCTGATTAAACTCTTTACCACCTTTACAGCCTCATCTCCCCACACCCTCCTCTTCAGGCATGGAGCTCTTCTGAGTTCTCTAAATGTCACCTCATTTCAGGCCTCCCTTCCTCTGCACACCCTATGACCTCTCCCCTACGCACCTATTACTTCGAAGGTGGGCTTCCGTATGACCACTTCAGGGAGTGTCCGCTAGTGCCAATACATATATGCGCATGTATGGATACACACACACACGTGTATCAATCATGCTGTAGGGCTGTTAATTTTTGTCCCAGTAAACCACAGCTCCTGGAGGGCAGAGACCGCCCCCCTTATTTGCTCTGCAGCACTACTGACCCGCACAGAGTAAATATGCACAGATACTTCCGATTTGGTATCTTCTGCATTGAAGAAACGGGAAGGAGTTTATTTACTGGGCCTTTTCTCGCCATTCCAGTACAGCACAAAATGACCAAAATGACCGCGCGGTACTACAAAACCAAACGTGCTTCAGGTGGGAAATGCGAAGAAACCAATAAACACAAATGGGAGAAACGTGGGAAATTCTGAGAAGCTATGCAGTATCTAAGAAACCAACTTGGGACTTTATACTACCCGGACAAGGGCTTACTTAACACTGCGTGATGATAATGACAGGTGGAAGGCGTCTCTTCTCAGTCAAGGAAATTAACTTTTCCTGGCCGTGTTGCTGTAATTTTCGTTCCTACCGTCGATTCGCCCTCACGTCCTGACAGGTTTTCCTTACATGGGAGACGCTTACTCACCACCTCAGGAGTCACTCACTTGTCAATCAGACATTTATTCTCTACATCTGAATGGGGGGGGAGCTGGAAGAAGGGAGACCTGGCGATGATGAACACTTTCAGGAGGGAGGGTGGCAGAAGGCCCCAGGGATGGAGGAGAGGGCGGGAGGTTGAGGCAGTACCGGGGGAGACCGCTGACAGCTGGCAAGGCACGGGAAGGAGGATGCGATCGCCGTGCGGAACAGGGAACGGTGGAGGGAGGGGGAGATGGAGAGGGCACTCGGAGAGAAAGCTGGGGAGGAGGGCGAGGGCAGTGGAGTCGGCAGAGGCGACAGGAAGCAAGGCGCAGTTCTGGCCAGAGGGCGAAGGTTCAGGAGAGAGCTGGGCGAGAGGAAGACAACACCGACGCCGCCAAGGCGGACGGAGCTGTAGGACGAGGAGGGCAGGGGATCATCGCGGTGCGAAGAGAGAAGAGCTGGGGGAACGAGGCGCTCTGAAGGCAGCGGCAGCGGGGCGGCTAGGAGACCCGAACCCGCGTTGGAGCGGGGGAAGGGAGAGGCGAGGGGCACTTACTGGGGTCCCTCCGCACGGCGCCGCTGGGGGTCTCCTCCCGCAGATGAGGGAAGAGGAAGTCCCGGGCGGCCTGGAGGTCCTGGAAGTAGCAGAACTGGACAATGGAGCAAGCCATAGCTCCGGGAACCCCGCTCGGGCACCCACCTCACCTCACCACGCCCTGCCCCCCGAGACCCCAAGGCTTCCACAGCCGAGTCCGCACTGCTTTAGCCGCGCAGGGGCGGGGAAACCAAACCGGAAGCTGTCAGCGCTCTCGGGCCCGCCGCCTCGCAGCGCTGCGCATGCGCGGAACGCCCAGGCTGGCCGGGGGAGGGTGAGGTCCGAGTCATGTGACCGGCGGCTCCCGGGGAACCAACGTCGACGTGTACCCTGGCTGCAGGGTTTCGTCCCGGCTCTGCGCCTACACCCGGGAACGAACCCTTTTATTCGTTCTGGCTTTGAGCCAGAGATGACCTAATTGGACGTTGTGCTCGCCAGCCTTTGAGTCATTCAACCAATCTTATTGATGTCCTACTGTTGGCACGATCCTGATATTCCAGAGAAGAATCCCTGTTAAACTCAGCGCAGGCCAGAGGGGGACGGTCCACCACACAAGCCTCAGAGTTTGAAGAGCTTGCTTTCTCTTTTGGAAATCAGCTCCGTGAAGACTAACGTTTAAATGCTCCTTCTGTAAATTCCCATAGTACTATGCACGGCCTAATATAGTAGGGGTTACGTTGTATTACAGACTTTTAAGTTTTGGACACCCACTTGGTTTTTCATTCATTCTAACGTTCATCCGTCCATTCAGCGAATATTTGTTGCTGGTCTTTTCTATGCCAACCACGCGAGGCGCTGGGTATGAAGCAGAGAATAAAAGGGATGAAATACTTGGTCCACGGGGCTAAAATTTTAGTGGCAGTTAGATAGTGAGCAATTAATTACTCAACTATTTAACTGAAATCGTGACAATGCTAGGAAGGGGAGAAGGACAAAGTGGTTGGACAGAACATGACAGGGGACCCTTAAAAAGTGGTTGTCTTTTTAGTCTTGTTGGGGTGGGTGTGGAGGGTTGCCGAATCAAGAACAGACTTTGTTGCAAACTCTTGGAGGATGGGATCTCATTTAACTCCTCTTTGTATCCACAGTGTCTAGCATAGGACCTGGCAGGTAGTGCTTAATAAATAATAAATATTTACTGAAGGAGTAAGTGGAATGGAGTGTCTACACAAAGTAAATAGAGTAGCCCACTTCTATTACATGGCACTTTATATTTTTTTAAGTATTTTTCTGACCATTGTTTGGGTAGTCACAATGCCATCTTGATAGAGTGTGGCTTATCTCACTTTTTTTTAAAATAAAGAAATTAACCTATTATGCCTCCATCAGAAAGGGTGAATACCCAACTTTTGTAGCAACATGGACGGGACTGGAAGAGATTATGCTGAGTGAAATAAGTCAAGCAGAGAGAGTCAATTATCATATGGTTTCACTTATTTGTGGAGCATAACAAATAGCATGGAGGACAAGGGAGATGGAGAGAAGGGAGTTGAGGGAAATTGGAAGGGGAGGTGAACCATGAGAGACTAGGGACTCTGAAAAATAATCTGAGGGTTTTGAAGGGGCTGGGGTTGGGAGGTTGGGGGATCCAGGTGGTAGGTATTGGAGAGGGCACGGATTGCATGGAGCACTGGGCGTGGTGCAAAAACAATGAATACTGTTACGCTGAAAAGAAATAAAAAATAATTAAAAAAAAGAAATTAACCTAACTCTTGAAGTTCATTTATGTAATTTTTTCCTAAAAAATGAAAAGGAATGATTTTAATGTTAGCACAAAGCACCATAGACACTCACATACTTCCCAAAACCCAAAATAGAAAACTAATGTGGTCATCCACTTTATAGACAGAAAATGGGATGGAAATTAATTGAAGGCATATAGATGTAGTCCAGAACATTCATGTCTGTTAGGCCTGTGTACACAGTTAGTCCTAAAAATACAAATATAACTTAGTGTCCAGGATCCTACTCCATTAATTCCTCTTTCTAGAGTAGAATGGTTGTCACAAAATTAGCTAATCTATGTTATCAGCTAAATAAGGATCAGTTCTCACCTATAACGTACGTGGGTGGGTTAGATGTGCTATAAGTTTCCTTAAGCACCAGAGACCTGCAATTCTAGGATGCAAGCGTGCAGAAAAGGCAAGCTTTCAGTGCTTCCATTTTCCATCTGAAAAAAAAAATGGAATGTTTCTTCAGATCATCCTGTCCTGGTGAATAAAGCCCCAAAATATGGCACCAATACCAACCTAGAATAAATTTTATATTCCTAGATTTGCAGGATGAATAAAGAACACGTGATACTTTTTGGAAGGATACAGTGTCATTCCTTGAAAACCATTCAAGTTCCTATTCAGGTAAATACATTTTGTGGAAGTAACTGCCTTTGGCTGCTTCAGCTGGCCTTTGTTCTTCCCTGAGGCATTCATATATCTCCTGTGTCGTAGCCATTGAATTTCATTATTGCTGGGTTTCAATGGCAAAGTCCCTGACTTCCTTCCAAGTGGTATTGAAAAGGCTCATTCATGAATGCTTTGAAGGACTTCAGATACCCTTCACAGAAATTACAACACATTCATGAACTGAACTCTTCCCCCAGGAAGTTGTAAAGCTGCAGGGGGAGGCCTCTGGAGTTCTGCTGCCATGGTTTCTGTGAGTGTGGGAGGATTGTGTTAGACAGGGAACATCACTAACCACACAGTCACAAGGAAGCACATTGCAGAAAATGTGCAGGCTTTACACATCCCAAAATAGACTGTGTCTTTCTGAGGTATGAGTTCGGGAGCTAGGAAAAGCACCACAATAATCCAGATTCTGTGACCAAAATAATCACAGGAGGGTACTAACATGAGTTCTCCAGAATCCATGATTGTGAGTTAGAGCGCTGGTAACTGTGGTTAAAAGAGAGAGAGAGATGCCTCCTGAACCTGGTCAGCAGCAGGTCCTTGCCCATCTTTAACAACACCCTGAAGTTGAAGGTACTGAGATACAGGATGGGAGGAGAAGTGTGAAAGAAAGAACAATGGTCTTAGAGTCAGGAGATCGTGGCTCAATCTCAGACCACTAATAAGTCACATGAACTTGGGCAATTCATGTCACCTTCCTGGGCCTTTGTCTCTTCATCTGTAAAATGAAGAGAAGGACTCTGAAATCTGTCTCAGAGATGCGCAGTTTTGGTAAGAAACTGGGAAGGAAAGGGTCTCAGAGTTTGAGCGCCTTAAAAGGAGGGATCTCTGTAGACACCCCAGTAAGAGGCATGGGTGGACAGGAGTGACCACGAAGGCATTGAGCCTCTCTAAGTGCGAGAAAGGAGAGCGGGAAAAGAGGATAGATGGATACTGAAAACTTACCTCATAGTTTTACAGAAGGTCGCCCTTGAATTGAGGTCTGAATTGAAGTGTGAGCAAAAGCAAGGCCTGTATACAACTAGGCTTTATTCAACAAACATCTACAGAGGATAACATCTAATTTATTACAGTAAAGGTAATGTGGTAAACACAGCAAGGTGATAAGGACGGGCCCTTCGGAGATTCACTACCTAACCGGGAAACAAACTACAAATGATTCTAACAAAAAGCAGAGTGTGATGAGGGTTGTGGGTGACTTTTGGTTCTCATACAGGGCTGTGGAAGAAAAAAGGGAAATCAGTTTTGTTTTGTTTTGTTTTGTTTTTTTTAGTAAGATTTAATTTATTTATTTGACAGAGAGAGACACAGCAAGAGAGGGAACACAAGCAGGGGGAGTGAGAGAGGGAGAAGCAGGCTTCCTGCTGAGCAGGGAGCCCGATGCAGGGCTCGATCCCAGGACTCTGGGATCATGACCTGAGCTGAAGGCAGACGCTTAACAACTGAGCCACCCATGCATCCTGGGAAATCAGTTTTGATTGGTAAGCTTGTCCAGTGGAAAAGGAGTGGTGACGAAGAGGTATGAAAGCCGATGAATAGATTGTTCCAGATTATAGAGAACCTCAAAGTCCCAATACTACTATCTGAATTTTATTCTGCATACAAGGTGTAGCCAATTGAAGATTTTTTTAGAAGGTAGAACAGGATGAGGTAACAGTATGTGGCATAAATAAACACACAGACACCTCAAGATCTCATGAAAATATTCTAAATGAGATGTAATGACAGTGGAAAGTCAGTCCCACTCTGGAGGCCAACTCCGTGAATTTTTAGTATATGATTAGATATGGGTAGTAGAGAGGGAAGATGAGACTCAAGGTGACTGATGTTCAAGTGCTTTGTTCAAAGAACTATGGAGATGGCAATGTCACGTCAGCAAGCAAAAGAGAGAATGTCACAGGAGGAACGGATTTGGGCTGGCAGGAATTGGATGAATTCAGTATTGGATGCATTCAGCATAGGTTGCGTTAAATTTGAGGTGCCTATGGAAGAACTAGGTTTAAAAATTTTTTTTTATACAGAAGTTAGAAATAGGGGATTAGAGAGGCCAGAGGTAGCCAATGGAGGAAGAGCTCTAGTAAAGGAGACTGGAAAAAAGCAAAGAAGTAAACATACATAGTAGTACCATGTCGCAAAGGCCAAGGGAAGCAGAAGGAAGTTTCACGACCAGGTGAATCTATTGTGTTGAGTTCAATAAAGAATTGAAAGGGAGTAAAAGCCAAGAAGCGGTGATTGCATTTAGTAGGTAGAAAGTCACAACTGATTATCCAGTTTATGGAATACCAAACTGTTTCCTTGGCAGAAAATATGTTACCTGACTTCAGAGATAGCTTATTTTTCTAACAGCCACAGGGGCTAGTTACAGCATCTTTTTCTTTTTAACTCTGGCTAAAGGAGAAACTTTTTAGAGAGAGTAAGAAGCATTTTTTTTTTATTGGCATTTAGCAATTAAGGAAAGAAGAACTAACTTCACTAAACTTTAAGTGTTTTATTGCTTGCTTGAATGTAAGAAAATATATTTATATTTTTCATATTTTCTAATATTTACATTGGGCCCAAATCTATAATGCCATAGAGAAGATATTAGCATACTTAGTTTAAAAAATATAGGTACTACGGTGCTTATAAATCTCCATCTTTATGTGTGTGTGTGTCATTCATAACTTTTTTTTAGATAAAACTGGCACATAAAGGTAGTTTCAGGTAATACAACATGATGGCTCAGTATTTATGTATATTGCACAAAGA